ATCCCACTGCTGGTTTGCTCTAAGAAGCCCCACAGGACTGCAGAATATCCTCCTGGGATGTAATTCCTCTAAAAGCTGAGGGAGCAAAATGTTTCTTGAAAGAGATCCAGGTTTTAGCTTCCAGACACCCTGTCACTACAGACATCCAGCCTGGGAACACCCCAAAGTGTGTCCGTGGAGCTCCACAGTCCCCTCCACGGCAGCACTCCTGCAGGAGAGCTCGGGGATGCTTTTCCAAAGGTTTCTCCAGCGGCACGGGCTGAGCTGCCTGGAGAATGTCATTGCTGCACAAAGCCCTGAGCTCTGCACACAGAGCCAGGCCCAACCAGCATTTTCATGGTCCTTAAATGTGCCATGAAGAGCCCAACCTGTGCAGGGGATGGAGCTGCCACGGCCCCACTGCCCCAGAGCTGCTCCCTCTTTATTGCCTCCGACTGCCTTTGCCTCGGGCCCATCAGCTGAGCCATCCCAGCTTCCCTGAGCCAGCTCCCTGCCCTGGCAGCTGCTGCCACCACCAAACCCACCCTGGCAGCACCATCCTGCCTCCCTTCCCCATCCTGGGCCAAATTCCATAATGGCTGCAAGTGAAAACTTAATTATTGACTTCAGTGGAGGGGTCGGTGCCTGGAACAGGGAGGGGTTTGACCTGCTCCAGGACTGGCCACAGGATCCCAAAGTGATTATAAAAGCCCAGTAAGACAGACTTTAAATTTCTTAGTTTTACTGCTGTTATTATTAGAGCCCCCATTTCCATGCCATGAAGGTGTTTAGAGGCTGGAATATCAACTAAATGATGCAGCATTTCAGGACAGACAGCCCTTGCCCTGGCAGCCAGTGCTCAGCTGTCACTCCCTCACACAGAGGGGCTAAACCTGCTTGCTGGGCTTAGTTGGAACAAACTTCCAACTGGTTAAAATGTTCAGAAATAAAATTTAACCCAAAATTAGCTGAGTTTCAGCAAAGAACTGAAACAGGGGGTTGTGTGCCTGGGAACAACCTAAGCAAAGTGGTGGCTTGGGCAGGGCTAAACTCGAGTGTAAAACACCTCCCCTCCCTTCCCTGCTGCTGGCCCACAAAGGCCTTCTCATTTATTATCACTGATTCTCTCCACCAAAATCTCCTGTACACCTTTAATTAAATTATTGCAGTCCTTTGGTGGATTATGCATAAATCTTCATTTGTTTGCTTTATTAGCATTCGATCTGGTTTGTTGTTTTTTTGTTGTTTTTTTTTTTTAATTGCAGAACTGTTCCCCCCTCAGGCAGCAAAGCAATATAGCTCAGCTAAAGCAGGGGTTTGGGAAGGGTAGTCAATTTGATTAACATCACTGTCAATATGATGGATGGAAATCCTCTCAAATGAGTCGCCCAATACCTCGAAATCATCGCTGGAATATTCCTTTCATTAGGACACAAGTGATAGATTCACTTTAGAACCACGTTGGCCTGCCCCAGGTTTCCCTTAACACGGGGAAATACAGAGGCTTTGTCTCCAACACTTTGAAATCCACGTCTCAAACCTTTTTATTTCCCTGTCTGACGCACGAGTCTTAATATCCCTGTCTCAGATTTGCCAAAACACTTCGCCTCTGTTTCCACCAAACTGCTTTTCATGGCTGGAGGGAGCCCAGAGCCCCAGAATCTCCTGTTCTCCCTCTCAATTCAGCAGCATTTACTTGCATTATGAGGAGGAACAAAACAATCACCAGTGGTGGTTTTTCCTCCAAGTGAGGCACGTTCCAAATGAGGTCTTGGGGCACTTTGGCAAACCAGCCTCAAAAAATGAGGAGGGATTACAGGTCAGGTTCAGCACAGAAACTCCCAGGAGCTTTAGACACTCATTGAAGGGTTCAACCACTGCCTCTTTGAAAGAGCAGAGACAGAGAGACTGAGAAAAGAGAAAGTAGGTGTGTGTGGTGAAAGGTGGCAATTCTTGCACTTTCCCAGAGTAATGCTGTATTACTTTCAGTGAGACACTGCATATAATTAACCACCAAGAAAAGAGACCTTCCTCCCCTTTTTTTTCGCCCTCTTTTGTCTTTTTAATTAAATTATCTCCCGTTCTCAGTGATGCTGCCATTATTCTACACAATGTGTGTTCATTAGAAATGCACTTACACTTATCATATCTTGATTTATCAGCTCTTCCCCTCATTTCCACGCTCTGGATTAACAGGCCCTGGGACAGAACACACTGAGGGAGTTCAGAGGAGCCTGGGAGAGGCTCCAGCCTCAACAACCCCACACGGAGCCCTTCACAGAGCCCACACATGAGTGTACTACAACCATTGTCTGAAGCCCCAGGCACCCTTTTTATGGGTGTCTGGAGCCTTTTCTGTGGAGCAGTTTAATTCTGTGAGTGATTCAACCCTCTGGCTGGGTGGGCTGATGGGACCCTGCAGTGGGAAACCGAAGTCCCTTTGGAATTCCCACCAGGCCACTGACACAGGCAGGGAAATAAGAACTTCTCGTTCCAGAACGAGCAAAAAGAAGCTCCTGGAAGGAAATGAGTGTCTCCCCAAAATCCAGGCAAATTTAAAGCTGGGAAGCAGAACTTCCTCGGTGCAGGGCAGGATGGAATTTTCCCTTTCAGAGTTTTACCTGAAAGACGTTTTTTCCACCCTAAGGTGGAAAATACACTTGGGATAAAAGAACCACAACAGAACCTTCTAACGCCAGCAGAACTCCCAGAGGGGAGTTCAGACAACCCAAGGACTCACCCTGCTCCCTCTCAAGCCCTCTTTGGCCTTGCTGGGGGCGAATCCCTGCAGCAGGAACCTGCCCCTGGGCAGAGGCATTGGCAGGGAGGGCGTCTGGCAGGTCCAGCCTCACCCGGGCTCGGCTCTCCAGGCACAGCCAGGTTTCCATGGAGAGCAGGCAAGAGGATTCCAGCTCCTGGGAGCAGAACTGGCAGGATTCTGGGAGGTGATGAGCAGCTGGGTGAGCACTGTGGAGCTCACAGTGATGTGATCAACTGATGTGGAGCTGGCAGGGTCCCTCCAAAGCTCCAGAGTGTCCCAGGCTCCCCCCACCCTGTGCTGTGCAGAGCAGGGAAGAACATCTTCAGGCATCTGCAGCCTCCAGCCACTCTGCAGCGACAGGATTTGTTGGAGGGCAGAACTGACAGGCAGGGAACAACAATCTCGTATTGATATGGGCTCCCTGAGCAGTGATGGAAGGCAGGGTGAGTGCCTGTGACAGGCAGGGGCTGCGGGATGTGTCGGAGGCTCCACGGAGCAAGCCAGGCTACAAATGAAGAGACACGGACATGGCACAGCAGATAAAGATGTAAGTAGGTCAAGCATCGCTTTCTCAGGATGGGAGTGACATTTTGGCCTTACACAAAACAGGAGTCATCTGTTATTATTTGGTTTGAGCCCATTAAACACGCTGGCTGCCACCAGCAAAGCCATTTGTATTAAAATCACCCTGATGATTCGGGCGCTCAGCGCTCTGCTTGCTCTACAAGGTTATTAATTATGCACCCAATTTGACAAAGATAATAACACTCACCTGGCTGCAAGGGGGAAGGGGAGGCTGGAGGGTTACTGAGCTGCTTCTGTTGGGGAGATCACACACACTGGGGCTGTTTGTCTTGAACAGATGAACAAGGAGCACATAAACACACCCATGGCAGTGAACAGCTCTGCAAACCCTGCACTGCTGGTTCCCTGCACAGGCTGCAGCACAGGGGGCTGAGGAGCCAAGGAAAAATGCAGTGAGCAGGTGGAATCAGTGCCTGGGTGTTAAACACTGAGTGAAGGTGATGGTGCCTGTGCAGCCAACTGCAAGCACTGCAGCCTTAAACAAACCCACAGCGCTCCACAAGTGGCTGCAAAGCCACTTCCCCACCTAACCCTGGCCCCCCCAGGTGCCAAAATTCAGAATTCAGCCATGTCTAAACCACACCAAGGGTTATTATTTCTTTATATCTAGGCCAAGAGCCTCTTTGTACAGATGCTTTAATTCGTTTGCAGTCCAAAGGATGTATCACTTGGGGTATTGATTTATTTCTAAACAGATGTAACAACTTTCTAGGCAGAGATGCTGAAATGAGTAGGATAAATCAATTGAGAATATTTTTTCTGCATGTCATAAACCAGTTTTGCATTCCATAGAGGCCCAGGGTGGTTTTGTCCAATGGATTATTCTTTTCATTAGTGTCCCATCAAAGCCAGACCAACCAGCTGACTGTTTTCCCCTCCACCCACCCCAAGAAAGTTAAATGCTTAAAATAACTGCTGATAGAAATGGTAATTCAGAGCCTATTGTTTTTGATAATTAGCATATTAAAGGAAGTCAGCTAGAGGAAAATATCCATTTATTAAGAATAATGAACCTTGCCTCTCCCTTAAATACTTCAGGATTAAAGACTCCCAAGGCAAAGAGAATCTGCAGACAAGAGCAGTTCATGGGGCCTGGGGTTCCTCCCCAAAATGATTTCCCAAACCACTGGAAAGGCCCAGCATGAAGAAGTTTCTTCACTGGCCACACTCCTCCCAGGCATTGCTGCTTTAATCCAGCCACTCTTGATTCAAGTCCTACCCATTTAATCCATGGATATGTTTTCCAGACAAGGTGAGGGGTTTTTTATGCTGGATACATATGGCACACACACAGCTGAGCCTCCTCACTGCCAGAGCCACAACCAGCAGGTTTTGGAGATCAGATGAATCCCAGACCTCTCCCTTCCCAGGATTCCTTTTGCTCTGCCTGGTGTGCATCAGAAATGGTGCTCCTGTTGCTAATGGAAATCACTGCTGGAAGAACTGGCACCGTGACAATAAATCTTTTATCACTGCAAGCTTAAATGGTGACTGAAATCATTCATGAAGCAGTTTTATTTAAAAGTTGATTATTCAATTGAAGTCGATTTCAGTGACCTCATTGGAGCCTGAAAAGATTTACAGGGGAGCTGAGCACAGTCACAGGGGCCTTGATGACTTCATAGAGCTGCAGACATCAATTGTCTGTGACTCACAGAACTTCTCCCAAATCCCTCTGCTCCCTCGCTCTGAACCAGACCTCAAACCCCATCTCAGACATGCAGGATTGCTGGAGATACCAGCAAAAGATAAATGCAGGGTACCAGGACTCTTGGAGAGAGAAAAAAGAGAATGAATTAATGGATTCAGCCAATGTAAGCAAAATCAAGATCTGGCTCTGTGACTCTTCATCAGCAATTCTTTTCTGGTGTGACAGAGACAGATGGGCTGTTTGGGAAAGGGATTTTTAGAGGAGGAAGAGGAAAAAAAATACATTTGACCCAAGTTTTGCAACAAAACGTCAAGCAAAGGTGGGGGAAGAGAAAGACATGAGTATAAAATGATCCTGGGTGTGATGATCCTGGGCTGGGATGATCCTGGGTGTGATGATCCTGGGTTGTGTGATGATCCTTCCTCCCCTCCCCTAAATCCCTCACCTCTCAAGCACCCTCAGGAGCATCAATATGATCATTACCAATTATGTAACAGGGGAGAAGAAGAGATGAATAGCTCAGGCTCGAGATCTCCTCAGGATTTATCACCTTGCACGTCCCCGTCTCCATCGGGAAACTGTCACTGGGAGGCACGGGGAGGTGGGAGCTGCAGCTCTGTGCTGATCCTGAGACAGTTATTCTTTATCAACAAGTGAAAAATGGGTGGAAATCCATCTGGGTGTTTGTCTCTGTCATTAACACAGCACAGAGATGAGCCCTTTCATAAATCACTTCTTGGGCCCTCGGAACCGCAGGAGGGTTTGGGTGGGGAGGGACCCCTCTGTGCTGAGCAGGGACATCTCCAACTGCATCAGGTTGCTCAGAGCCCTGTCTGATCTTACTGACCCCAGAAGGACCAAAAATACCCACAACAGCCTTCCCAGGGAAGATCTGTTGCTGTTTTTTTCATGTATTTCCAGCTCGTGCCCAGAGGAATCCAAGAGGTCCCTGCAAATTCCACTGTGGGAGCTGTGAGACAGGAGTCACCTGAGGAGCCAAACCACTGCTGGGAGGGGGAGAAACACCTCAGTTATGCCCTTTGGATACAGTAAAAATAACAAAACCAGTTCACTTTGGGTGTATTAATTTTGGCCTGAATAAACCACCTTTACCCTCTGACACCTGCTCTCAAACATTAGGATACAAATCTTAAAAGAACTCTGGAGTTTCTCAGGGTCTGGCTTCTTGAGGACATAAATTTACCCAAAGTATCATCTGAGGGACGAATTAACAATAACTTCCTCTCCAGTCCAATTAAAGGTTGTGTGAATGACTGAGGGATGAGTTCATGTCCAGGGTAGCACTGGTTGAATATTTCATTAATCTCACCTCAAAATAAACGTAGGCCATAATGAAAAAGACAGCTCACTTCAAAAAAATCATTATTTTTATCGACATAAAAAAACTTTCTGCCCCTTTTCTTCCCTCCCCCTGTGGTTTTTTACCACGTTAAGAATTCAAATTGCAGAGAGAATTACTGGGACCAATTTAGGGCCATTTCAGCTCAAGGGGCACAGTGGGGTCCATCCAGTGCCATTGTCCAGCTCCTTCCACACGTGGAGCTGCTCAAGGCTCCCACAGGGCTGGGAAAGGGAAGGGGCCAAATCCTGGGGGGGCTGAGCTGATGTGCCCACGCTGAGCTCTGCTATTTAAAGAGGTGGATTTCAGGCACTGCAAAACCCCTGGGAGAATCAAGAGGCATTTGCCAGGCAGGTTTAACTCTCAGGTGCGGCCCTGCCTTGCCAATAAATGTCCCTGTTTTCCCTGAAATAAGGATTTATTTTTCTCTCATGCAAAGAAGGAGAAAGGTTAATGAGGAGTCAGGATCTCTTTATACACCAACTTATCTTCCAGTGCTCTGCCTTCCCTCGCAGCAGTTCAGACACAGCAGCATCCTGGATGTATGAAAACTGCTTTATTTCCAGTAATTAGAGAAACTAATGAATCCAAACACCACAAAAGGTCCAAATCTATCAGGGCTGTCTGCTTCCAATTTGTAGCAGGCTCGGCGTGCTCGGAGACGCCGAAGAGCAAATTGCATAATTAGGAAAAGGTTAGGGAGTTTTTGTGCAAGGAGTTTATTCAAAGCAATGACTAACACCTGCTGGCACATCCCAAGCCTTTTGTCACCTTGTGTTTTTCCAGCTCAACACACAAGAGTTGGGTCAAAAAGGCTCCAAGCCACGATGTCACAACTGCAGCTCCCCGGTTTTCCACCTCCCTGCTCGGGTGGCTGAGGACTGCCAGGAAAAGCTCCAAGGAATGAGGGGGAATTCTTGAGGCAATATTCCAGTTGCAAGGGAAGTTCCCCCCCCCCCCAAAAAAAAATTCGGGAGCCCCACACTGGAATTGCAAAGGACACGTGTTGGTGTCAGAGGGGTGGAACCACCAGAGCCGATTTTCCGCCGGTTTATGGCCACGGGAAGTTTAATTTGCAATTTGGTTTAATTATTCCTAATACACTCGATGTTCCAATAATTAGCTTCTGCAGCAGCGTGGGGGGAAAATCTGATTTATCTGTTTACTTCCATCTTTAGCTGTTCAGTGAGCTGTTCTGTCCCCTGCTCTGGAACCTCTTCACACAGGCATTGAGAACTGCAGAACAAACCCTCGCCTTTGCAGCCTGCCCAGAGCTGGCAGAGCCAGGCTGCTCTCAGGGCCTTCTCCTCTTTACTTTTAGTGCCTGTTTTCCAGAGGAGAATCTTCTCCTGCCCACTGCTGGGGACAGAATCATCCGTGAGAGCCCCAGGAAAAGACCTGAGCAGTCCTAAGAAGTGTGAGCTGCTGCCTCTGAGGGAATCTCTCACTGACCAGCGTGATCCAGAACTGCTGATCACAGCTCTTCCTACCAACCAAACCCTGATCCCTTCCAGGCTGCCAAGCCTTTGCAGATTTTCGTGGCATTTTGTACAGGCAGAGTCCGTGTTTTGTGGGAACCAGCTGAAGAGTTTTGTTCATTCACCTTTCAGAAAGAGCCCTGGGTGAGCTCAGTGTCCACCCACCAGGAATCCACAGGGATGTTCCACTTGTGACAACTCAATTCCAGCAGCTGGGTTTCACTGCCTGCTCCCCACGTGCCAAACCATCCCTGTCCCTGTGCACCCCACAGCACAAGAGCTGCATGTTATTAAAACCCAGGGCTGGGGAGATAATCTGTTCACAGCTCCTTCCTCCTCCCCTCCTCCCTTCCCATCCCCTTAGAAACAGCTCTTCTCCACAGTAAATAAACTTAGAAAGCCTTATCATTAATTCTATTTAGGCCTAATATGTCATAAAGGCAGGAAAGCAGGCCGTTTTCCTCTCTGCTGGGGCACAAAACATGGATTAACTATTCCAACCAGAGCTGTGAATGATTTATTAATTCAATTTTGGAGTGTGTGACTGTCACATCATATAAGTTCGTTACAGGAAGAGTCTCTCTGAGGGCTCCTCTCCTCTTTTTAAACCGTCTGACTGACATTTCACACCCTCACAACCACAGCCATCCATCTCCTCACTGCTGCTCCTGTGCCACACAGGGGTGACACCACTTTGTCCTGCCCGTGGGAGAGGGTTTGTGTGGGATGTGTGGGATGAGGGAGAGCCCTGGTGGCTGCTGAGCCACGGCAGGGATGCTCCAAGCAGGCCCTGTGCTCAGATTTAGGGACTAAATTTAGCTCTGTGTGGAGCTTGTGCTCAGATTTAGGGACTAAATTTAGCTCTGTGTGGAGCTGGATTGTCCAGGGTGATGTCCAGGTTTGGTTTTTTTTTTTTTTTTTAATTTTTAATATCACCTCTTTCATTTCTTCCTGCCTGTAAATAAATAAATAAAACCTTGTTCCCACAAATATGAAAAAAAAAAAATAATGTGTGGAACCAGCACTTCCCCCCTGGTTATGGACCAGTTTGAATGGAGGTGCTTGGAAAAGTTTGCTTCAAAATTTTTCACTTGTTGATGTAAAAGGGGTGTTTCTGTTCAATGAATGTCAATAAAATTTAGAAAAATACCTTCTGCAAAGAGTTCCCCTGGTGGAGAGAATTTCAAACACCAGCTCACCCAGCAGAGGATTCAACTTGTAACCAGAACACCCTCAGAGACTGGAACACCAGGAGAAACACAAACTATTTCATTTGCTCTCCCCCACCTAACACAGACCTTCACAGTTCATTCATTTACCCCTCTGAAAAACCCTCATCTACCAAGATTCTCATCCCAAAGGGAGCCCTGTCCCGGTTTGAAGGCTGGTTTGTTCCACTGGACACCAGCCACGCCATTATGTCCCATTTGCACCTCTCTTTCTTTTAGTTTATTCCATTAATTTTTTACTCTGCCTTTCTTTACCAGATTAAGGAGCTCTTCCACCCCTCAACTCCCCCTGAAACCCAACCTTGTTCCATTTTTAGACCCGGGAACTCTCGTTTCGTCCCAAAATAAAAACAAATAAACCCCGTTCCGAGGGACAGAAGGACACGAACAGCAAAGCAAACATTCAGTAACAGCTGTGAAATGCTGCTTTGGGGCTGGGGAGCCTCTCCATCCTGGAATTCCGTGTTCACCACCCCTGTTCCAGGCAGTGTTTGCCAGCCCAGCCCTGCAGGGCTCCTCTGGAACTCGTATTTCCTCCCTGCAGACGACAGGGTCAGTCCTGTCACAGGGCTCTGGCTCCAGCCAGCCCGACACAGCCCTGCCCTGCTCTGGGGACAGGGCTGGCCAGAAAACCTCCGGGAGATGAATCAGCTCCTCTGTGCCATGGGGAGGTGGGAAGGAGCCTCCTCGAGGTGTCTGTGCCACTGAGGGACCATCCCCAGCCTCCTGGGCAGCTGGAACACGGGAAGAGACACCCCTGGAACCCCCCCTGGGCTTTCAGGAGACTGGAGTCTTGTCCCCTCCTCCTCCTCAGGGAGGAGTGGCTGCATTTGTGGGGCTGGGATGGAGGAATATGGGATGTGGGGCTGGGATGGAGGAATATGGGCTGTTGGGTCACCCACCACGAATTCTTTGTGGTGTGGCCCTGACCCTCGGCTAAAAAGGGGCAGTGGGAAGAGCTGGGTGATGGAACCCCCAAAATAAAGCTCAGGTGGTCCCTGTGACTCTGCACTGGCACAGCTGCCCTGCTGCAAACTGTGTCCCTGCCAAAGCTGGGGGAGCTGGATGTGCCAGGGCAATTCCTAAATCCAGCAACCACATTTTCTGGAGCTCTCTTGTCCAAGCATTTCTTCTGCCCCAAAAGATAAGCCTTGCCACAGTTGGGGTTTTTTTTTTTGCTTTATTATTTCCCATAATTCTGAGTGGTCCCAGTAATCAAGCCAGGAGGACACACTCCTTCCCCTCCTGCAGATAATTAAATGGATGTTTCCAATGCCCTGCTCTATTTATGCTCCTCTCTACACGGTGAATTAATGCTGAAGCTGCCCAGGTTCCCCTCTGAACAAAGGAACAGCACAGAGCAATCGATTTGTATCTGGTTCCATTGTACATGGATCTAAGTTGGAGTGTTTATCTCTGAATTATACAGGAATGGAGGGCTACACAACTTCAAAAAATAAAATTGTGGCATAAAATCTTTTCCCTGCTTTGCAAAAGCACAAGTGAAGGCAGAAGGTTTTTTAAAGCAGAGCAGAGGGACCTTAGAGGGGTGAGCAAAGCAGTTGTCACATTGCAAGAACATGAGAGGGACTTTAACAGTGACAAAAACAGTCCTGGCTCTGACTGAGCAACACCCAGAGCGGCAGCTGAGCTGTTCCAACAGCTCCCCAGCAGCTCCAGGGGCTCCTGGCTGGGGAACCCCATCCAGCAGACACTGGGACTGCAGCTCTCCCTGCCCTCACCCCTGGGCTCAGGCTGCTGGCAGCAGAGCAGCTCTTTTGTTCTTTGGAGGGTCCCTTTCTCTGGATGATCCCCGTGAACCGAGGCACTGCAGCCCCACCAAGCCCCTCCTCGCCCTCAGCCCCTCTGGGAGGCTCCTGGTGCTCGTCCATCCCAGGGCTGGGCTCCACTGCTGGGAGCAGAACCCAGGAGCCCATCCCTCCCCACTGGATCCTGTGCTGGAAAACACCAGGGAGGCCTCCCAGCTGAGCTCATCCCTCCTCCCTAACGCTCCTTCCAAGGGTTTATCTGCCTGTTGCCCCTGCTCCCGAGG